GTATAGGCATTAGGAATATGAGCCAAAAATGTAGATGAAATGATTTGATAAGTAGTTTGTGATTAACATATTTGCGTAACTCTTCTCTGTCAACGTTAGTAAACTCGTCCGAATCCCTGTCCTCCTCTTCCACACCATTCAGCTTATGATATTGAAATGAAGTCATTTTGTGCTACTTTTTTATATTTTTCAAAGTTTACAATTTTTGAATTCAATTTAATTGTAAAGGCGCGAGCATTGAGTAAATTTTATGATTTATTTTTTTATTTAGTAAATATTATTATTTATTTGTGCATAAAATATCTTATATTCTATACAATAAATAAATTATAAATTCCAAACATTGTAATCATTAATGTATACTATAAATTCAGTTCTATTTAAGAATATCAAGTATATCTGACACTAGGATTATGTAACATATGCTAAAAGAATTTGTTTTATTTTACAAAATTAATATTTAATCAAATGTATGACTAAATAGAGGAACACATATATTTTGAATTAAATATTAATACTTGATTAATAAATAAAATATTATCATTGAAACTGAAAACAGTTATTATTTATAAAATATTATTATAAACATACAATTATACTAAAGCGAATACGGTATTTTAAACTCCAGTCTCTTATATAACAATCAGTAAAAATATAATAATTGCTTGTTTATAAATTCATTTTCGAGACAATGTTCCTGACAGAGCCCATAGTCCTTTAATGTTTTTAGCCTAAATTCGCATGATTTTCAAGATTCCTAAAGTTTTCTGGAAAATTCCAGTTAATATTTAAATATCATTGACTTCTCAGAAATTTATAAATTCTTACTTGAGACATACTATAAATTTCAAAACAAATGGAAACCATAATAAAATACAAGTAAAATCAAATGAAAACCCATATGTTTTACATTAACAAACAATTGTGCAATAAATAACTCCGGTATTAAAAACACATTGTGTGATTCATACCATTTACTAACTAACAACTACAGACAAAATACAGTTATTTCTATTAAGACATTGTGATAAGAAATATGAACATCTCGATTGATATATTGATTATCTTGTCGATAGTTTGCGGCCTATCAATGGGAGCACCCATGTTCGCCCAGTCCCCGGATCCGACATCTTATGTCATACAAACTCCTTATGGGCCGCAATACTATACACAACATACCGGTGACGATGGATCACAAGTTTGGTCAATGAATGGACCTGGATTTTCACAAACCACTTTTTCCAGCGGTGGCAAGTATGTGAAACTGAACAGGGTCTAAATTAGAGATCCTTTTTAATGCATAATAATTATAGGAAAACTTAATGTTTGATCATATTTAAAGTACATTTCAGAGTACATTTTAAAGGTTTTGGTAGAAATATTTAGTTTTAATAAGTAATGTAAGCAACACATCATTACCTAAATACTGTATTGATGTGATTAATGTTTAGCAGTAGTGAATTAAACAGTATAAATATTAAATATGATATGAAATAACTCTTTAGACTTAGTGATCATTTAATGGTATTTATTAGATCTTAATACTCGAGTACTTTCGGTCCTAATCGGAGCCTTCGTCAGGAGTTATTATAAAATATGAAATTAAATGAATTAAAAACTTTTAAAACTATATAATAGACAAATCACGAGATCTTATCGATAACTATATTCCAGATTTCATTTAATTGAAATCCTTTATCCCTATTAAGTAGTGATGTTTCATCAAAACCTCTAATTATGAGTGACTCTAATATCTTCCTATCATATATCATAAAGTAGTATAAATATTACATGATCAATATTATTTCACAAAACTCTACAGTAGTTCTAAAATTAGTTTACAATTTAGATATTTATAAAAATTACTTATTAAAAATAAATTAAAATTTTGAAAAGTGTTAAAAGTATATATATATAATTTATATATATAAATTAGCGAATTATGACCATATTTTGTATAACCTCCTTAAAACTTGTCCGATAAAATATATTTAACCTTAATTAATTTTCAGTCCAAACAATGGATTTCATTATAACGCGATGAGCACCGGCAGTGGAAACGCGTTTAGCAATGGATTTTTTAGTGGCGGTATGTCCGGTATGGCTATGGGCTCCAGTATGGGAATGGGTAATATGATGCCCATGGGCAATATGATGGGCGGGTTCATGCAACCCATGCAGCCCATGAAGTGGTGGCCATCCATATTCTCCAACGGCAACAGTCACTCCCAGTCCAGTGACCACAGCTCAGGGTTCCAGTGGTGGCCCTCACTATTCTCTAACAACGATTAGTTACACGAATATTCTGTAATTCTTTAAGTAATAATGAATTGTTTATTACTATTTTTGTTATTTATAAACTAATATAAATATAACAGAATATTGTGTGCTCAAGATTTAGTTATCAATACAATTATAATTACTCTTAAAAAATGTGTATTAAAAATTGAGTCTAAAATTGATTAACAAACCATAATTATGAATAATAGTTGCGTCAATTAATAAATGTTTATTTTTCAATCACTTATACAAAAAACAATATTATTACACTAAAACCTTTCATAAGTGTAGCAAAAACAGTCAAAAAGTTATTTATAAAAGTTTATAAAGTGTTTGTATGATGTCTTTGGATCTAATCCTCGATCGACACGTTCTTAAAGAGATAACTCAATGACTCCTTATTATGGATGCGTCTCATGGACTCCGCCAATAGAATCGCGATATCAATGGTCTTAATCTTATGGCACCTCATCTTCTGGAGCTCGTGAGGCACTACAGACGTGTGGGAAAGACACGTGAAAAACACAATTACAATCAAATCAAACAATGCTCTCCAGAATGACTGACCAGTATTGGTGACAATAACCTCATCGATGGCCGAGTCCTCGATAAGTCCCGGTGCTTCCGGCGAGAAGAAGCCATGTGTGGCCAACACGTATATCTTGTAGGCACCGGCCTCTCGCAGGTGCTCAGCGGTGGCCACAAAGCTCTCGACGTCGTCGATGACATCGTCGATCATAATGGCTATCCGTCCGCCGACGTCACCCACGATAGTGACGGGAGGTTTCTCTTTGGCCATCGCCAGAGGCAAACCGCCTGAATCAAACATGTCGGGCGACTGGTTGGAGGCCAGGGATGGTGGCGGTGACGTACGGCCGTCCACCTCATCCGACTCCCCGTCCTTGTCCTCGCCGTGCATTACGGCGATTCCCACGCGTAGGCGCTCGGCATAGGACGTGGCCTTACGTACGGCACCGGGATATCGGGCCACGATTATGGAGTTTTTGTAGTCCGATATGTTTTCGCGTATGTATTGCAGTAGGAATGGCGACGCTCTTAGGTTCTCGACCGGTATGTCAAAAAATCCTTGGGCCTGATAGGGTTGGGACAGGGGGTTGGGTGCAAAATCAAAAACAATTAGTATTTATGTCTATAAATGATTAGTTTATGTTACAGTATTATAGATTTTTTATTTATAATTATTAGAAGTTTGTTTTGAGATTTTTTGTGCGTTTAAAATAAGTTTTCCAAAAGAGATAATTGTAGGCAATTTTCTGTGAGTGTAGTAATTAATTAATAGATAAAAACTTTGATAATATTAAGCATAAATGTTATCAGACAAAAACAATAAATACAGTTCATGTCCACTATAATTACACTACTTAATTAATAGTTAAATAAAAACTCAAAATTATCTAGTTTATTCAATTATAATTTGTTTGAAAACAAATTCAAAACTATTACTAGTCTCTAAAAATCAAAACAAAGTTTATAATAATTTTAATACAGTTCATTACAAACTGAATACAGTTAATAAAGAGGACAGGCAGGACAGGTACCTCTTTGTGGTGCATATCAACGGTAATTATGTGAGTAAAGCCCGCTTTGCACATCATTTTGGCCATCAATTTGCTGACAATTGCGCCCCTTTTGCGCATTTTAGACTGCTTTCCGTAGGGCAGGTAGGGTATGACCCCGATTATATTATTGGCCGCCGACGTTTTGCATGTGTAGGCCATAATCAACAGCTCCATTATGTTATTATTGACATCCCGACCCCCAGTCTGTATCAGATAGACATCGCGAGCCCTGACCGACTCGCCCACTGCTAACACCGACTCCCGATTGGACGTGTGATAGAGGGAACAGGAGCCCAGTTTTTGGTCCAATCGGGCGGCTATGGAGTTGGCCAGTTGTGGGTGAGAATTGCCCGCAAGTATTACCATATCCGAGTGCACGCGAGCCATTATTTTAGCAGGCTATTTATTATTATTATTATTACTATGGAAGTTGTTTTTTAATTTACTCTATATAATTAATATAATTTATATGTAATAAAATACAAATTATAAATGAGTTTATATCACTTTTAATTATGTACTAATAATTAAAGTTGAATATGTTTTTGAAAATTTTATTAATTATTCTTATAATTACTTCAAAAACGCTTAACAACTGTTGTCTTGTTGTTTGTGTTAAAGTCCGTACATTTGTCATTGGATTCACATTTAATTGATATATTGTCTTATCATTTATATTATACTTATCTCTCAGTATTTTCTCACTTTAATGGTCTGATAATTTAACCTTAAATATAATATCTATCCATATCTATGGTTACAGATATTTTCTGCTCATTTTATTTTATTAGGTACTAATAACACGGTATTATACTTCATATAAATACAAGAATCTATACAATTCTCGTGACGGAGACTAATCAATGAGTTTCCTGTACTGTAAAACTAATTAAAATACAATTAAATCAATACAATTCGTGTATGGTTTCCATTAATAAGATATACAGAGTATAAGAATAATTAGTATTTATTATAACATTAATACTTCGAAATTTGTAGTATAATTGTAATCTCTCTCTCTCTCTCTCTCTCTCTTTCTCAACTTAATTGATTAATTGATCAGAAAGTTAATTGTATATCAATTAATTGATTCGTCTAATTACAAATAAATTTAATATTTAATTGTTTTCTAATTTACCAAATTTCTTTTCAAATATCTGAGTGATAATTACAAAAATAAATGACGGAAATAGTTGATTACATTGAAAACAAAAGGATTGCTAGTATTATTCATGACAACCAGTGCTGAATAATACCGTTTATCCAGATTCTGGATCCCAGAACACAAAATTTAATATTTAATTTATCAATAGATTTTAATCAAGTGATATTTTTGAGATTTATTATACAATTCAAAGCAAATGTGTTAATGAAATACTGTATAAATCTTTAACTCAAGTGATAACAAATATTATACTCACTTTGTTTCATTGTATCCGTGATTTACACATATTTTCAATATAAATCAAACCAATGTTTCAGTGCTTTTAATACAATATAATAAAATAGTTTTCATTACAATCAAGAAATGAAATATTTATTACCATAATCCTTTTGAGCATTTTATATAATATATTTTACAATTATTTTGGCAAAGACATGTTAATAAAAATAGATTATACGAATTTATTGAACTAAAAACAATTTTACATTTAATTAATGAATTAAATATATATAACAAATTAAATAACCTATAAGTTAGTATAAAATATAAGCATTCAAAATATTTAAAAATAAATTAATTTTATCATACAATACAATAACTTAATATTAGTCTTAACTTAAAGTTTAAACTAATTTATACATTAAATTATATTTATATTTAAAATCTTTGTCCTTTAGATTCATCATAATTTGGATTATTTATAGATAATTGTCTATTCATCTCATTATTAATATTATTATTTGCATTATTATTATTATTTACATTGTTATCAACAGGAGTAAAACTACCACTATTATTATTCATGTTTTGATGTTTATTGGCATCTGTCTTATTGACATCCCTGTCCCCATCCAACGACATTTGTTTCATCATTTTAATCTTCATCATAATCCTCTCCTGATGCCTACCCGACCAAATGGCCACCAGTGTTATGCACACCAACACAAATATACCGCATCCCACCGATATACTCGTGATCATATAGGCATCGGACGTCTCACGATCTAGGTCACATTTAAGACCTACGCGTTCCCATTGCTCCGGGTTAGTATAATTATCCGAGTCTTTAACTGAATAGTTTCCCGTCCGGAAGGGCTCCAATCGTACGTTCTTTAAATTCATGGTAACCTTGTCATCCAATTTAATGTCCTTTTGCTCTTTGAAGCACTTGTAGCCAAACTTGAGGGGCGTCTCAAAGTGCCGGGTCGTGTCGTTCACGAAATCTTTGCCCCATTTAAACGTAATGTTATTCACATAATGATGGCTACTGTCGCTGGCGAACGTCAACCACAAGCCATTGCCTTCAAACTCCAGGTGCAGAACCTGTAGATCTTTACCGCAATGGCTATCGGGTCCCACTTTAGCGGTCAACCCGTTAGCAATGTAAGTGTTGGCAGTTTTGGTATTAGATTTGATGACAAACTCGGCCCCAAATTTGGCTAAAATACACACATTATTAGGCGGATCCCCGACGAACCACGGATACCACGGGGTCTGCACTGTGGGATCCGGCCCTTGCAGTGCCGGTAATGAGCCGGTTGTTAATGTGCACAATAGCCCCATCCATATGTAAGCTATAAATACATATGCCTTGTTGATTGTAAACATAATTTAAATATATTTAATTTTTCGGTACACTATTTCACACCGAAACGCACAACACTTTTATTAAAAGCATAAATTATTATACTTTTTCAAATCACAAAGTTTTAGTAATGTTTGTTATCTATTTTATGAGTAAGGCTATAAAGCGTTTGGATTATCTGTTTCTATAGGAATCGTATTGTAATTTATTAATTTATATTTCACTCAATACATACAACACACACAATATGTCACAATAGTGTGCACACAATGGGTTAATACAATTGATTGACTATTATGAATGAAATCCAAATGAATACTATCTGTAAATAAGCAAAAGTGAAAACTTTTACACTTTTATTATTATTTGAACTTTTCTTGCTATGATTTTATAATTACAATCATTAACTAAATTGAATTACAATCAACTTTTGCTAAAGCTCTCTCTCTCTCTCTCTCTCTCTCTCTCTCACTCACTCACTCACTCACTCACTCACACTCACTCCTCACTCTCTTCTCCTTAAATAAATCAAAAATTTAATAAACAGCAAAAATACTAATAAAATAGTAAAAATAAATATTTATTAATTAATTAAAATAAAATATTAAAATTAATTAAGTTTGAATATACTGTGCAATACAGAAATATTAATTTTTGTGTATAATATAACGACAGTAATATGTTGAGAAAAATAATAAACAGGTTTCTTAAACCTAATTACCAAATAATATCAACACTATTAACACAAAGTATTTTAATCGACATTAAAACTAACATAAAGTGTTTTATGTTCAAAACATTTCACTGATAGGTATTTAGTAATATAAATAATTTTATTTTGTTTTAATAGTTCACTGAACATCCAGGACAATAAAATACTGTATTTACAACTTTATTGTAAAAATATATTTTAATAAATACAGTACCAAATTATTAATAATATGCTGTAAGTTTATCTTAAATGGTTGTAATTACTATTTAAATAAATTACAATACAATTAAGTAATTAAAGTAAATAGTGTTGGATAACTATTAATATTTATTATTGAAATTGTCAATTTGAACTTTCTCTGAAATATTGAATATAAAAACATATTTTTAAATAATTGATATTCACTGCATGTGTCTAACATTAGATCACTAGTTACTGAAATCATAACTAAAAATAAAATTATTAATACCTGTATATTCAATAAACATTTAATATACACTACTAATTCATATGGACTTTGCACAATTGTTGTCAATTGCCTTTAAAATTTTGTTTAGTAAATTAATATTCATAGCAAATAAATATTTTGGCAGTATGTTGTGTTACAAAAACTACTGTAGTAATATAAAGCTATGCCATGGATATTAAATAAATTGTTTATTTTAAATAAATCGTGTGAAAATTCAACAAAATCATTGGTGTGTAATCCAATTATTGTAAATCTATTTTTATTTATATCAAATAAATATAAACTGGTACTGTAGTACCGGTATTACAAAATGCCGTCTGTAATAAATACCCACATTAATTATCTGTCATCACATAAATAAAACAGTATTTATATAAAATTTTATAATAACAGTTTTTATAATTTATATTAAGTATTTAATAATAACAGCTGAATACAATTAAATGAAATTTATTTTCAGAATTCAAGATATTTACTATTAAATTATTACTGAAATAATATATTATTACCGGATCTACCGATACTACACTATTATTAATTATATTACCAAAATATCTGCTCAACTAAAATAAGACATATTTTAAAATTGAAAACAATTAATGATAATTGTGTCTAAGAACTAGGCAGGTATTTTTACTTATCAAACATAAATTGTTGCTATACAACATTTAGTGATAACCATAAGTAAATAACAACTAAAAGTGAAAAATTATTTTTATTTGAGATATCGTTTACTGTATAATAACACTTCGTTTAATATTAGTATTATTTTATACAAACAAATGATTTTATATAATTATTGTTATTTTTATTAATCATTTAATTTAATAATAAATATAATGTTAATAATTTTTCATTGAGTATCAATTTATACTTACTTGTTAGTTGATAACTAGAAAGTTTTTTATTTCAATAAATACAGTAACATTCAAAATAAATGTACTCATATAAACTAGATAGGTTATTGTATGTTTGCTCCATAATTGCTTTGTGGGGTAATAATATTGGGGGTGTCCATAGTGTTTTAGATTGGTTTGACAACTGGCCTAACAGTGACAACACAACTTATGTTACTAATTATATAAATAATAATTCTCACTATAATAATGACAATCAATTTGGAGAGAAAGATCATTTATTAGACAATAGTTGGACACAAAGTAGTGATCATTCACTACTATTTCAAGCAATTTCATCCACATATTCTACTCCATTCGTATTAACCTCTACCATCACCACCACAACCACCACACCAACCACTACAACATCGACTCCAAGTCCCACAACACCCACACCAACATCATCCCCACCACCACCACCAACACAACCATCTATACTACCATTTACAAGAAAAGAGCCGCCACTTCCACCACCATTTCCGACAACACAATCAGTGATCTCCACTACCAGTACTCCACTGATATCAAGGACAACACCAAAGCAAATGTCCAAATGTCTGAATATAGCTTTGAATACGAAAGTAGTTTTCAAATACACGGCAACCGATGGCGTTGAACAGCAAATAGAGTTGAGCGCCGGTATGGAAAATGGCGAGTTGTATCAGCCAGACAAATGTCAAACTAGCCAGGATGTGTTTATTAAATTTGAAATGATCGACAAAACACTTATTATACTCAGGTTAAAATAACAAATTTTGCTTAAAAGTCTAAACTAGTTTCTTTTAATAGATATGTTTTAATTGAACTTGTATATAATAATTATGTTTTCATTTATTAGGTTAACTATTAGTGAAAGTCACATAACATTCAACAAAATTAATTTTGAATTCCCATTGAAACGACTTCCCGATGACTACCAAAAACCAACAAATATGGACCAAATGAAGACCTGTTCCCAAACACCGGGATATGGACTCGACTCAAATTCAGATGAAATGTGTCTGATAGCAGTCAGCAATGAATTAACAGAATATTCCTTTAAATACAGAATCAATGAACAAATATTCTGCAAACAATTGCCACAAATTATACTCAACACACATAATAAGGGAGATATCATAGAAGTGGCGATCAATCATTTCAATGCCGTCTATACTAACAACGAGACACTGATCTCACAAAACACCGGTTTGTGTCCACTCAATGATGAAGGGACTACCAGTGCAGAGCCCCCGACCTCGTTGGCTGGCAGTACAAAAATATGGGTTGGCATCGGGTTCGCTATTACCGGTGCTTTCATTATATTTGGTGTGATTTTATTTTACGAGAAAGTCATTAAAATCAGAATATTCTACACAACTGTCAGTACACAGGAATCTAAAGCATAGGTAATTCCCCCGAAATTTAGGTATCTGTCCTATGGAAGGGCGTGTCAACTAGTTTCAAGTATCATAATTTAAAATTTAACATTTATTGTAACTTTTAAACGTTTCTATTTATTGAAAAATTAAATAAAAATTAATAACAATATAAATAACTCAGATTAAGCAATGATTTACCTATTTAATAATGTGGTTAATATAAATTTTAATTGAGAACAATTTTTTGGAAATATAATAATGAATACAATAAAATATTAAATTTCAATAAATTAAAATCTATAAACTAATTGGATTTATAAACAATATATTAAACCCTAATTTACAAATTAAAATCACGGTATACTTATTTAATATTTTATATAATAAACTTTTAATCTCGTACATATAAAGGTTGTAGATATAAAATTATAACTTCTATTAATTGCAGATCAATGATTAAAAGTGATTATAAACTGCAGAGCACTTTGAAACAATGCAATGAACTGCTATTATTAAAACATTTATAGGAATTTTATAAAACTTATAGAAATTTACTAAAACCTTACATGTAAAAAGTCAATAATTTTATGATAAACTTTAGACATAGAAAGTGTATAATCTTTCAACACTTTTATTCAAAATTATCACAAAACAAACTCACGTTTAATTGCAATCATATTAGTATTATTATCCGTTTAATACAATTACACAATTGTTGTCACATTTTTATACTAATGAATTACACGAATAGTATTTTTTTAAATAATTCAAATTTTATAATATAAAAAATCTATTATTTATGTTAAAACGACAAAAATACATCAATTAAATAACAGATTGTATAAAAATCATAAAAACCCTTATTTAGATTAGCAAAATGTGTAAAAGGTTTTTTATAATAACGGTTAAAATTGTTATATTTATGAGTCTATGTGATCTAACAGTGAACGGCACCGGTATTTCTCAACAACAACACCAAATCCATCGGACAGCCGACCTACGGGTGCACCCAAAAGCTGATTGGCGGCAAACCCTCAATCAAGTGGTCAACCAGTTTTGGTGCGGTACTAAACTCAGCGTAAAGGGTCTGTGGTGTGCCGGTACATCCGCCTACGAGTGGCTGGAAATGGATGTCCAACAGACTCCCCGCCGATTCTGTTGCTATATGTTCGACACGAGCGCCTGTATCGCACGGGCGGCACAACAACTGTGCTCTCGCGACGACTACCGCAAGATAGTCGATATATTAGAGGCCAAAAACGAGGGTCTGATTGCCGGCCAGTGTTCAGCCTATGGTTACAAGTGGTACGACTGGAAGTCATGGAAGTGTCACTTCCCTGTAGTTCCCATAATTGGTGCCTTATTTCTGGTTTGTATGGGAAATATACTTATTAAATGGTTGGGCAGAAATTCACTGTCATTTGGACATCAATGGCGGTTTGGCCGACATTTGGGTCGGCATTCATAATAGGATTATATTGTATATTGCATTTAGATGTGTATTAATTTAAAATAAAATAAATTTAGTTTTAATTTATTTTTTAATTAAAAGTAAAATTTTATAATCATTTTGATGTCTATGTTATAAAATATTTATTATCAAAGGAATGCACAACTAATTCATAATTATTATAATAACATTTATATGAATAAAATGTATATTTTGTGTAATTCGCAATTAATTTATGGATGATAATAATAGTTGTTTCATATGAATTAATTGTTTATTTAACTTTATTGTATTCAATGATATATGATTTAATCGATTAAAGTATTTACATTTTACCATTAGTGAAATATTATAAAATGCTAAAACAACATATTAAATCAAATTTATAATCAAATAAATAATTATTAATTTTATTATACGAAATGATGTTTATAATTCCGATATTTGTTAAGTCAACTGTATAGTATTTAATTTTCTAATCAAAATATAATTTTCTAATAAAATCCAAATTAAACCACGATTTTTATGTTTAATAAAAATAATAATTAGTTCTATGCAAAAACTCACTGCCATATTATGTAATAAATTGATGTAGTACAGGGGTAACAGTAAACGGAAAAACATTTTCATGCAATTTTATTTTGACTTTTAATATTTTTGATTACATTTTTAATCAGCATATAGAAGGATAGTTATATTGATTACTTTATATAAATTTGAAAATAGAAAGTTAAAAATTATGAACATATATTCAGAACAGATTACAGGTATATATATAATATTATGAAAGGTACAGGTCCAACGTTCAAGGGCATTAACGCACTCAATGGACATCAAATTTGCGCCGTAATTAATGCGGACAATACACCGGTCGATGTGGTTGTAGGCGACGACTACATTGAATTCCCAATATATGATGTGTTTGTGGCCGCCTATGGCCTAAAAAGCGGTCTAACTTTGCGGGAATTGGAAAAGGAATCTGACCGAAATAAAACTACTGAATCGCTACCCAGTAAGCTATTAGAATAAAAATTGCGACAACTTTTCAGAATTAACTAAAAATTAGTAAATCTAAATGAAATTTAATAAAAATTATACTAATTATAGGTAATCTATGTGGCTTTCAAATGATACTT